TATGAAAGAATTGTTATTAAACGTAATAATCACTTTCTGATTTATGATTTTGGCTATAACTATAATTAGAAAAAAAAAACAAAAGGAGCAAAGTTGATGGTTTTCTGAAGTCTGATGAAAGAGTTCTTGATAAGCGTATAAATCATTTATTGAGGATGAGTTTGGCTATAACAAAGATAACAAAAAAACATGAGTAAAATAACGATTTTCTGGAGTCTAATGAAAGAGCTTTTGATAAATGTAGAAATCATTTGTTGATTGATGAGTTTTTGATAATTATGTTGAATCCGGATCTCAGTATTACCAAAGAGATGCTTTGTTGGTAATTACTTTTTTATTTTTTTTGTCGTCCACAATCAAAACTCTAAAATTTTCGACGGAACGTTAACTGATTCTGATGTTATAAACCGGGTGTCAGGAATCCTGAAAACGACGAAGTACCTATCGTCACATGCAAAGAGAATGCTATAAAATGATGACGTTCGTTGTTTTCTTATTGTCTTGAAATTTTTGTTTTTTGTTTTTTTTTTATGATTGGCATCTTATTTTCTTACCATTTATAATATTCTTTTATCTCTCATGATTTTACCGTTTATGCACGATAACTTACACCATTTGTATATATTATTACTATGGTGTTGATAATAGAGTGATATATTTTTATCCTTAAATTTCGTTAGTATATATTTCAGTTTAACTGTTGAGATTTAGTTTTTTTTTTTCTAAACTTAATTTATTAATCTTATGGATAAATTCTATATCGTTTAATCAATATTCGTTTTTGTTAATTTTCTGATTTAGTTTTTAATATATATTTTCCATTGTTATGTTCTTTCCAAATAATCGTTAGGTCTACATATACGTATCGCGCGTTTATACCTCATTGGATTGTTTAGCCGAGTAATCTTTTGATATGGGTTCTACAATGATACCTTTTACCTCTGATTCATGTGATGGTGGTTATTTTCATATTGCGTCTCTTAACCCTAACATGGGTGAGTGGTCTGTTTTGGTGAAGATTTGAATTGTTGGTCTGTTTCGCGTGGCTCGGGTAGAGAGCTCAATATGATTTTGGGTGACGAGCATGTTAGTATTTTAATAACTTACCTTCTATACATGTTTTCGATATTAAATTGAATTGTTTTTTTCTTTAACATTTCATTTGCAGTTCACCCAAATTTAAGCCGTTGTTCGTGATGAATTAATTGATAATTATTTTTCAAGATTGATAATCGATGAGTGGGTGAGCATTAAATTTTTTGATGTATCCCGGGTTAACAGCATCTTGAGACCAGTACCGCATAGATTCAAGATTGTGTTTCGTTCGGACACTTTAGTGCAAAGTATTAATATGTGCTCCAGTAGAACCTATTTCAATCTAACTGAGTTTGTGAGTATATTGAGTGGTATTGTTAACCCGAATATTTGCGTTGGTAAGCCTAATTTATGAATTTATTTGTGCTTTTGGAGTTTATTTGCGATTCATGTTCTGACTGTATTATTCATGTGTGTGTTTCATAGATGTTATTGGCAAAATTCTCAACGTGAGAGAGTTGGTTTTTGTTCCTTCCGTGGAACATTCTCAAGGAGGATATTTTGAGCTGTGCTTTGGTTTACGTGATACTGAGTAAGTCACTATTTTTTTTAAGATTTAAACCAGAATATAAAGTCTTATGACTTCTTCAAATCTTAAAATTAGGTGTATCCATCTAGAGTGTCGTTTGACGGGTGACTTTGCAGTCGAGTTCTATGACTTATGGAAGCGTCGTTCACGTAACACAGTGATATGTATTATCAAGTTTGTGAAATTAGAGCTATCACAGGAACATAGGTGGAGATGTACCAACGTTACCGGATGTACGAGGATTATGTTGAATCCGGATCTCAGTATTACCGACGAGATGCTTTGTTGGTAAGTATTTTTTTTTCCGTTTAAATCAAAACTCTAAAGTTGGCGACTGGACATTCACTGTTTATGGTGTTCTAAATCGGATGTCAGGAATCCTGAAAATGACCAAGTACCGATCATCACTCGGAAGGAGAATGCCATGGAGTGATGATGTTCGTTGATTTCTTATTTTGTTGGTGAATGATTTTAAAAGATAATTTATTATTATTTTTTTAGCATTTATAATATTATTGAATTTTTTAAATTTCATCATTTTCCATAATTTTACCACACTAAATCCTAAACAATTTACCATATTTTTCTTACACTACCAAGTAACACCTAAACAATCCCTTATTTCACATGATTTTACCATTAATACAACGTTCTTCCCGCTCATGTGCGCGGGCAGTCACCTAGTTTTTATATATAGTGTTTTAAAATTCAAAGCAATCTTCACAGGCCAAAGTTTGGACTATTATTTTTATTTTTATTTGGACTATTATTTTTTCAGTCTGCTCTTGTTCTGATATTGATATGTTTTGTAAGAATTAAATATATTTTTCGTGTAAAAGTAAAAAATACGACTAATTATTTTCCTTGGATTGATGACGTGAATACAATAATACTTTTGTTACATCCCACCCAAAAAAAGAATAATACTTTTGTTACAATAGACATATACGATATATCTTTTGCACACACAAAAAAACGATAATAGTAAATTTATAATATATGTTTTTGTGTTCTAATTAAAATAAAATAAAAATTGACGAAGAGGATTGAACGGTAGACGTAGACGCCATTGGAGTTTGAAAGAGGAACACAAAGGGAATTAGTCGACGTGTTATGGATTATTGTCGTTTCGGTTTCATCTTCGTCTTCTTTCTATAGCACGATTAAAGCCTGTCTAGATCCATCATCGGCCATGGATGAATCTACAGCTACGTCTTCGTCTTCCACTCATTATTTCTCCATTTTCACGAATTATCCTCTGATTTCCGCCGTCACCTCTTTCACTATCGCTCAATTCATCAAACTCTTCACCTCCTGGTACGTTCTCTCTCTATATCTATGTTGGGATCAGACTCCCACTAAATGCTAAATGTGCCTTTGTCTTATCGTATTGGCCAATTTCTTCGTTTCGAATCCATAGTTTAGGGAGTGATCTTGATATTGATTTTTCAGAAACGGTACATAGAAATTTTATAATAGACGTTAGAGAAGAAAAGGATCTTTAAATGTTTTCTTGGGATTCTGCAGGTATAGGGAACGGAGATGGGATCTCAAACAGCTTATTGGGTCCGGAGGAATGCCTTCTTCACCCTGTAGCTATTGCTTTGCAAGAGGGCTTTGGTGGATCGCATTTTGCCATTGCTTTGGTTTTGCCATCTGTTGTAAGTTGGCTACTTTCTCTACTTTATCAATTGGTTATTAAGGAATCAAGTGACCATTATATGTGAGTGATTCTGGTTCGTAGGTGATGTATGATGCTACCGGTGTTAGATTACATGCGGGTCGTCAAGCTGAGGTTTGATTGCTGCTCCAACATTTCTTTGTTTCATCTTATAACTTGACTGGTTTTTTTTTTACTATTGGTTTTGTCATGATGCATTTGAGCTGTGGTATCCTGATCTCTGGTGTCTGATTCATTTTCCAGGTTCTTAATCAGATTCTATACCAACTTCCTGCAGAACATCCGCTGGCTGAAAGCAGACCTTTGCGGGAACTTCTCGGTCATACCCCTCCCCAGGTATGTAATACAGTTTATTAAACAACTATAAATCCTTGTGATCACAGACCACACACAAATCTCACCTTGCTGAACCATCTCATAGATTACTATAGGATCCAACCCCGAATTTGCAAACGTCCTTCCATATATGACTAGAACGATATGAGATTCTTATAGCTGTTACATTTAGCAAGATAATTAGTGAGTTAGTGGAAAGCATGAGTACAAATAGAGTATTTGAATGAATCGGTGAGGGTGATTGTGTAATTGGGAGCAGTGTTGGGGGCCTTTTGAAGGCTTGTGTCAGTTGATGGAACTCTAGTTGATAAATGGAACTACTCTTTGATTTGTAACCGTGTTTTGGTATATATGAATTTCTTGTTCTCATTAGATTCTGTTTTCCATTTGCTGAGAATTCAGGTCGTTGCTGGTGGAATGCTTGGAAGTGCCACAGCAGTCACTGGATACTTATTTTTCAGGATAGCTACAAGCTAACGTCAAGAACATGCATAGACACAACTCTTCTGCTTCATTGCCTATTGAAGCCACTGGACAGCTATGTTGCATGGAAACGGGAGCGGGTACGCGGAAACGGAATCGTTTAGAAGCGCTGAAGCGATTTTTTAGAAAATTTTACGGAAGCAGTACGCGATGGAAGCGTATAGTATATATAAAGAATATATATATGTATATATATATATATAGCTATATATTAAACATTATATCATATTACAAGTTATATTAACCCCATAAATCTAATAAATAAATTTTAAAAACTAAATTTAAAAATTAAACCAATTTTTACAACAAACAAAATCAAATAATTCAAGAAAAAAATTATAACACTATATTCATTCTTTTTTAAAATAACATCAAACAAAATCGTTTCAAATTATGTATATTATAGGTAAAAATATGATCAAACTCAAGTCTCTCGAAATTAATCTAAATTAATTAATCATTTATAATATCTCTCACATATTAGATTCATGTCATTGCTATTTTCTAAACATGATTTTGTTAAAAATAAAATACAAAGATTAGTGTGCAAAATTTTTAGTTTGAGTTTGTTTGATTAAAAATAATAATTTCATGTTTATTTGTAAAATTGAATTTATAAAATGGAAGCGCAAGCTTCCAAACCGGAATCGTAAGCTTCCAACGAGCTTCCAAAGTTGAATTTTTGGAAACACGATGGAAGCGAGATTCCGAAAGCTTCCAAGAGCTTCCGATTCCGACTAAGATTCCGAAGCGGGAAGCGGACCTCCGACGAAGATTCCGTGCTTCCTAGCTGGACAGTACCAAAACAGATTTACAACCGAATCCGAGTAAAAAAAATATTTATTCTTGTTTAACCTTACCATATGTGAAGAAATCTTGAAACACAAATACAAAAATTACGTGATTTTATTTGAAAATAAATAGTATACAAAGGAATTTGTGGAATAAATGGCGTTGTTCATCATTGTTTACCAAGTATGATGGAGAAGGCTTCTCTCATGTGCAGAGTAGGATCCAAAGTAATACCAGACTTTGCTCGCCAAGCAATGTGTTGGTCAGGACGGACTAAAATAGATCCTCTCTCCGACATTTTACAAATACTCCACCAACAAGTTCCTTCACCATTTTGTCTTATAACTTCCATAACATCGACATAATTTTCCCATGGAGCTAATGCTGAATTGCTCTCCCTTTCAAGACCTTCATCACTACTAGGCCAGACCACACATACTTTTACATTAGCCATAAACTCTTTTGCGACTTTGAATGTAGCACGAGCTAACTCATAGGACTCTTGTAATGGTGATATTATAAGTAGAAACTCCACTTTCTCTGTCGAAACAAGATCCAGTGTAGAAACAATAACCTCTCTTGTGGAATCTGACAGTATTTTCACATACATATGTGGCAGTCTTGAACCTGGTTCAGCACAAGGTACATAGTCTCTTCTACGACCACTCGGTAGTTCGGGATCACCAGCTTCAGACTCGTTATCAGGAACAATGGCTCCCTCTAAATACCTAAACAGTAAACACAGTAACTTCTGTTACTCCAACTTTGAATTTACATATCTTTCGTTGAAATATAATGCGAGAAACACACTTGTTCACAACATTAAAGACCACACTCTCCGTGTCATGAAACCCCTGATATCAGTTTACAAAAGCAACAAACCCTAGTTTCTTCTCTTTTTTATTCTTGGTACTACTCAGACAAAAGTTAGAATTCTACAGTTCCAAAGGTGATGACTATACCTGAAACCAAGATCTTCTGCAGGAAACTGTAGTTGAAGGCTTTTTCCTCGTTCGAAGATACTCTTTACTCTTCTAAGTCTCTGATTTCCCAGAGGATTGCTCTCATTCAACAGAGATTCTGAAAGCTGTGCACGACCTAGTGCAAAGACATTATCCAAGATTGCCTTTTGTAGCCCAGTTGGAAGGATGGAACCAACTGTTTTGTTTATAAACCTATGCACTACAACACCATAGAGATATAATTTCTGTAAAGCTGATCACGGAACGATGAACTGAGCAAGAAGACAAGCTAATTTAGTTTACCTGAGTTTGCAACTGTCGGGTCAAGGCCTAGCGCTGAAGGAACAGACATAGCTGCTCTGAAGTTCTGAACACTGAGTGAAGTATTGGAAAGGGCAATCTAGAAGTCACAATAAGATACGTGTTGATGAATCAAGTTAGGAGGAAAGGATGGCAAGTAAAAGTTAGAAAAGATGAACACCATACCGGCCTACGTTCTGTTTCATAAGTTTTAAGAATCGAAGATTTTGCAGAACCCTGAACAAGAGCTGCTATTTTCCATGTAAGATTATGAGCATCCTGAATTCCAGTGTTCATTCCTGTAAAAATCATGTAATTTGCTATCAGAATACTGCTGTTCGACTGTCCATCAAAATCAAACCGATTCCTGAGCTTTCCATCACTAGATACTTATAACTTAGAAAAAGAAACTGAGAACAAGGATCCTTTAAGATCAACTTTCAAGTCTGGGGCATCCGTTAGAACCACAATATCTCATCCAACCATGTCTTCAATCATAATAGTACGACAATGGAAAATATTAGATTTCTTCCGCAGTTATAACCATCATACATGACAAAACTGTCAAAGAAGCAGTGTACGATTACCCTTTTCAAAAAAATTGGAACACTTACCAAAACCTCCAGCAGGTGGGAACCGGTGAGCAGCATCACCAGCAAGTATCACTCTGTTCTCACAGCACATGAATTTCTCGGCGACTTCAGCATGCATGACCCATGGCTTAATATCAGCTACATCCAAGTCTGAAAGCTCATGTCCCACCAAATTGTATATCAGCATCCTGCACATCTACAAAACAATAACCGGTCAGGGAGATATGAAACAAAGTCGCATTTGAAGTTGGTCGCAGCTGGGACAGAGATATACCCACAGAGGTGAGTGAGTTTTCACAAGTGAAAATCCATTCTTCTCTAGGTAAGGATAGAAAATACCTCAGGACTAAAATCAGATAGACTCTGTTGAGGTGGATAGTATGGAATCTGCAGTAAAAAGAAATGAATATACGCTAAGCTACGGAATATAACACTACTTTAAGTTCATAAATTGAGATTAAAGTATCCTTGAATTTTTGGGTCGGGCTATAGCTACCTGCAAAACAAATTCTCCTTGTAGAAGATCATGGGCAACAAGAACTCCTATACCATCGGTGTTAAAAATGAAAAATAACATCCCTGGTCTTCTACTGATCAGGTACTCACCGAGCTCTCTACTCATGAAGTGGACACTAACAAGCTTTTGCAGATCCCTTTCCCCTCGCATTTCTATTGCTGTGAGCTTTCTTACTGCACTCCCAGCCCCATCAGCACCAACCAGTATACTACATTGGATGTTTCTTTTCATATGCTTGCCTCCTTTGAGATAAGAAACAGTTGCAGTAATACTGTCCTTGTTAGCATCAATCGCCACACACTCATGACCCATAAGAATTTGCCTCGCAACCACAGCGTCAACCTCAAGACCATCCGACTCTTTGGAACCTCGAACATGAAAGCCGAGGTCTCCCAACCGCTTCAGCAATAAATTTGTCAATTTGTACTGGGAGAAGTGAGCAACGGAAGCCGGGCTGACAACTTTCTCAAAATCTGTACATAAACAACACAAGGACTTGTGTGAAAGGCCTGCATTTTTCCTCAACATAAAATAGTTCTAGTCCATGAGAACTATTTACACAAGAAAAATGTATGGAAGAACACACCTTGAGGCTGCATGTGATCCACTGTGCCTAGAGTTGAGCCGGAGAGAGATGTACAGTAAATAAATTTTCTCCACAAATCTACAGGAGGCTGTGATCTTTCAATCTCCTCAGCTAATCCATCCAATGCACGGAAGATCTATGTACATGAAAACTAAGACATTAAGGTTTAAAATCTAGGAAAACCAAAAAACAATATTAACCACAGGAAACACAAAAAAATCCAACCTCCATTGATCGGTTGTTGATAAAATGTGCTTGTGGGTGTTTCGAGAAGCTTGTAGCTTTGTCCACAACAGCACATTTCACTCCTAACATAAACGTGAGGATTCAATTCGATCAAAGACGTGAACTCAAATTGATAATGTAAGCTCAAAACTCAAAACTTCAGATGAGAATCAGAGAAAGTATGAGAAAAATTGTACCTAGTTTGGTGAGAAGGATGGATAAAACGAGGCCCACCGGTCCAGCGCCGACGATCAGAACAGGAAGCTTAGCAGCATCTTCGCCATTGAATGAATTTGTATTTGAAAGGTCCTTGCTTTGGAAGTACCTCACTGGGCACACTCTCACCCTCGAATTGTTTCTGCTTATTCGTGTTACCCCCGTGATCCGCCCTAGAATCGCCATGGTCGAGAATCTAAATCCTAAACCCTGAAAATTATTGGAAAGTAAAAAAACTCTAAAAAAACACAACGGTAAATGTAATTTTGACTGTAATCTGGACTCACATAACAAGGTAAGATCTTTCAACGCGATGACTTTTCTTACCCTCAACATGCGTCTTTGAAGACTCTGCTCCTTCTGTCTCAACCTTTCAATAGATGGAAAGGTTGATGCTTGCAAATGTCTCTGGAGCTTTAAAAACAAAATCAAACAAATTCTCGTTAGATTATCCACAAATAATATGAGAGAGACAGATAGTGGTGAAATGAGATTGATAACTCACCATTTTAACATTGCTCTGAGTCGTTTTTATTCTATCCCTATCTGAGGCGAGAACTTCATCTTGAAGCTGTAGGAACCCAACAAAAAATAATGTCAAGATTCATTTGTCAATTTGTTCACATATCATTGATATCAATCTTCAAAAAAACAATATTTGCTTAAGCATCCCATAAAGGCACTTTCCCAAAAATGGACAAGGCACAAAACCACCAAACAAAAAGCATATAATTTTCACAGGTGATGAAATCAACCTTAAGGCGCTGAGAAAGATCTTTAAAACCTTGCACAAGCTGAGGCCACAGGCGCTCTCTTTCTGTTGAATCCATGCCTTCAAGTTTGCTCATAGCCTCTGCCCACATTATCTACCACCAAATACAAGCAATCCTTCAGAGAGATCTACGAGAAAAATACAAGCAATACACAAAAAAAACTGCACATTTCCATGATATAGTAGAAAAAATCAAGAAGATACTCACATCTGATACAGCTGCAGGCTTCACCCGGTACTGTGGTTCAGTCACACTAAACAAAAGATGCTGCAGAACCATGGAAACAACAGTTAACATAAACAGAAAATTTATCACCACATAACTAAAGAATCCAGAAATTTCCACCTAAACTAACCTGAAAAGCATACTTGGGATTCGTCGGATCTTCCTTATAAGCTTCAATGATGGCCTAAATCCAAATCAAGTAAACAAGACTTCTCAATCAATGTAAAACTAGGGTTAGAGGTTATAGATCTGGAATTAAAGAAAGAGCAAACCTGGACGTCACGATCGGCGAGAGAGTAAGGAATTGGAGCAACGGGAGCCATCTGAGTAGTCAATTGAGCATTTGGGAACGGCGTTTGCTGCTGAGCGGTGTTGTTGAATGGTGACTGAAAACCAAAACTAGAAGATGGCTGTTGCTGAAACAGTGAACTCGGCTGCTGCTGTTGCTGTTGTTGCTGTGGCTGTTGCGATGAGAAGGGAGTCGAGAAGAGTGAGGAGCCAAATCCGCCGGAGGAGAAGGAAGGAACCGACGGCGTACCGAACGCAGGCGTGGCTGATGATGTACCGAACGCCGGTGAAGACGTACCAAAGGCAGGTGTGGACGACGGAGTGCCGAATGACGGCGAGGATGACGGAGTGCCGAACATTGGGAAAAGGAGAGGTTAGATCTCTGTGAAGAAGAGAGAGAGAGGAAGAAGGTAAAGGACTTTTCTATTAGGCAAAAGGCGCCATTCGGAGAACTTTAAAACGCAGCTCAAGCGTTCGACGGAATTCTCGGCCTTGGCTTCCGTGACGCAGCAACTGTTTAGGGTTTTGTTCTATAAGTATCTTACCATTTTTTCATCAACTACTCCTCTCCACGATCTTAAGATCCTTTTTTTTTCCTCTCCCCATTTAATTTACGATCTCAATGGCAACCCTATAAACCATTCTCAAAGCAAAATGGATGCAACTTAATATAGGATGAATCAATTGTATGAACGTGGAATTCTGCCAACAATTTTGTATAGAGATGCAACAAAACAACAAATGTTTTGGCGCTTTCAATTCAGAAGAAGAAGACGAAGAAAATAACAATTTGAGAGATGGGTGGCATGACATGGCATCTTCTTCCACGGTGTAGTGTGCAAAAGAATTTAAATGTGAAACCATCTTATATGTTCAAGTTTCAAAAGCGTTTTGATACGAAGATAATTCATTTTTCCATCGTTACTATTGTTAAGCTTGGAGAAGAAAAATGGTTCCGTATAGCTTTTCTTCCTCATCTAATCTTTCTCTTTTTTGTCTATGCGTATGAGAAGTTACTGTATTGTGTAAGATCTTTGGCTGTTTCAAAATACAATAAAAAAATGTCCTTAATTTTTACACCTATATATCACGATTTGGGTGAAGTTGAGGAGGATTTCTATTGAGAGTTACAGAGCAATGTGTAATACATTTAATCAATGTATTAAGGTAAAATAAAACTAAATAAATTGTATTTTGTGACATTCTTCATTGGTATAATGGTTGGACATTTCAAAAAACAAAATATACTATTGGTATTATTGTTTTCCCGTGCAATGGTGTACTAGTTTTCTATATTTCTTGTTGTATATACATTACAACTTTCGGCAAATAAACCGATCCTTTTGTCCCAGGAAAAGTCTCCATGTAGCAGCAGTAAAGCTTTCTTGCTAAAAGATGAACACAACACGAGAACAGTCAAGCCTCTCCGTACATTACAACTTTCAAACCAAATGTAAAACCTGTTGTGGGATCGTTTAAACACAAGTTGTAATAGTATTCTTTTCACTTTATTAAGTTGCTTTGATTTGAAACTCTAATGATAAACTCATTAGAGAGTTGAAGTCTTTACCATAGATTATCCATGAGAAGTCAAGTTCAAGCACAGAAACTCCAAATTCCGTGAATAATATCTAAAATAATCATCAAGCAGAACATGAAGCTCTTTCATACTAGCTAGCAAATGGATCACCAGAAACCCAATTAACAAGAAAAAAATTTAAAGCAAACAAGCAGAACATGATGCTCTTGCAACATAATAACTTGTCGACAAGTTTATTCTATGTAGTAAATACGTCTAGAAGAGGAGAAATCGGATGTCGAGAGGAGACAAATCTAAGAAGGAAACAGTAGATTGAGGACTAAGCAACAAGTAACTTGAGATGCAAGTAGCATGAAAGATGTGATTACATACTGTTTGGTAATCAACTTTCTCTTCTTTGGACTTGGTAACAATCTACGATCTCCGTAGTGGTTAGAGCTATTGGTACAAATCAAGTTTTAACATTGTATTTGCATGTATACATCCAAATTAAACTTGTCAATGCTCAACAAATCCATAACAGCTTCTTTGATATCAATATGAGGAGCAGGCTCTTTGTCATGTAACTCTCTGATATGGTAATGAAAGACGATGACATGACTTGCAGGAGGTACGATCTCATGATCCTTGAAAGAGAAATTAGAGACTAAGTAAGTGAAGATCATGAGTATGTGAGAAGATTTATGTAGTGACCATAAATTTTAACGAGATAAAGAGTTTGGTCTTGTACAATAATGGTGTTGGACAAGAATGGGTTCAAGGGAAGTTGGAGTGTCATCTTCTTATAATTTAGGTCTATTTAGCTAAATGTGGACTTAAGAGATGTCTGGATCAAAAAGGATTATCTTCGTTGAACATGATTATGCATCTTTGATTGTTGTTTCCTTTTACAAGACATTGTATTTTCTTTTACTTGTTTGCTCTATGTTTGAAAACTGGCTTATTGACGACGAGTCACAATTGAGCTGTGCATGTGACCAAAGTGACAGAAGACTTTTTAAAGCAAAAGCAAACAAAATAATCAAATTGACTTAAATCTCAAACAAGCCAAATGCATCCAAGTGATATGTCTCTTGGTACTTTCAGTTTTCATGTAAATGATTTGCCACATTCTGCCAAGCCAATAATTTTCGTCGTCTTTTTCTTTTTATTTTATTTTTAATTTTCTTGTTCATGTAAATGATTTATCTCGTGAATTTTCAGTTTTCATGTAAATAATTTGGCACATTCTCCAAGCCAATATTTCCATCTTTTTTTTTCATTTTTTAGTTTTATTGTTTCATGTAAATGGTATGTGTCCTGGACAATTCAATTTTCACGTAAATGATTTGGCACATTCTAAGCCCATAGTTAGAATATTTTATGAGGGTGTCCTTCGAAACATATTAACTTTTTGGGTCAATTAGCTAGATGACGACCATATGGAGAATCATAATTTGCCAAAAAAATGCAGTAGTAAAACTATAAATAAGTAATAATTTTTGGAGAAATGGTCTCATATAGCCATAAATGAAGTTTTTATGACAAAAATAGCATCCCCAAGTTTATTTGACAAAAATAGCACTTTTTAAACTTATTTTGATTTTTAAGAATTAATTAAATTAATTAAGATAAGAAACAGAAAATAGCACTGAAATTAAACACACCGACGGAGAGTTTACAATTGTGATTTCTGGTGAAGCTTCCGATCTCGGATTTTCAATTCCGGTGAAGATTATGATCATCTCCGATATTCAATCCCAATGAAGCTTCCGATCTCATAGCTTCAATCATGTCCTAAATCGATTACCATTTCTCTAATTTCTTCTTCTTCTTCACAAATCGTGTTGAATTTGGAATCTGAGTGTACCTCTAGGAATCGTGATGGACTATGTGGTTTGTGAGTGTAGCTCTAGATTCGTGAGTGTAGCTCTCGATTTTGTTGGTGTGGATATAGTTTGGTCCTCGATTTGATTAGCTTCTCTAAGATTTCAATTAAAGAAGAAGAGATTAAGCTTTCACGTGATGTAGCCGACGAGAATATTGCAGTTTGAGGTCCGGTGAAGAGACGGAGACCTAGAGAATGGATGGTTCCATCAACACCTACGGCAAGAGCTTATGGGTAAAACAATCACTCGTTACTTATTAGGTTAGATAGAATCTATGAAGAAATGATATGTTGCTTAATTGGGTTAGATAGATTCTTTTGTTGAAGCAGTTTTAACAAGTTTAATTTTGTGAAGTGTGAAGGTTTTTCAATTTTAGGAGCTGCTCTTGCTTGGAGAGCTGTTAAAGAATCTACCTATAGGATGGTAAATGAGACACCAATGACACAAGACAATCAACCTGCATTATCATCTTTCTTGTCTAAAGAAAATGCAGAAAGATTAGCTCTTGGATTGTGTGTAATGCGTGGAACTGCTCTTAAAGTTGTGAAAATGTTGAGTATACATGATGAGAGTTGTTTCTGCTCTGATAAATATCAAATCCAAACCATTATCGCTTTGTGGAAGCTGAAGCTATGTGGAAATAGTTTTGAGATCAAAGAGATTGTTGAGAAGATATTTGTTAAGAGTAAGAGAAGTTCGTCTTTGTCATAGATTTCAATCGTCGGTTTCTTCGGCTTGTAGTTTGCAGGTTTTCTACAGGTAGAATCTGCAGCTAATGCTTTGTCAAAAGTTTGCTACAATTTTCCATCGTCATGCAACTTACAAATCCAAAGTTGGCTACATAGATGCTGATTTCAGAAATTTAGGTAGACCTTCCTAAACTTCAAGAACGTCTTCCTAAACATTATGAAATCTTTCCTAAATTTTTTAAAATGTGTTGTTGAGTCTCTTTATTTATGTGTTGTAATGTATCAAAGATTACTCCATCAGTGAGGGGTAATGTACATACAAATTACAAATCCGAAGTTGGCCACATAGAGGTTGTTTTCAGAAATTTAGGTAGACCTTCATAAACTTTAATGACAGCTTCCTAAACATTATGAAATCCTTCCTAAATTATTAAAAATATGTTTTTGAACTCTTTATTTATGTTTTGTCAAAATGTATCACATACTACTCCATTAGTGATGGGTAATGTATCACAAACTCATCAATGTCCCAAGTTTAGGAAGGCCTACCGAAATCTCAAAGAGTTCTTCCTAAATTATTTCATGTTCATATACATTTATTTCTATGCTATCTTCGAATGAATAGCTTGGCTTATCGGTTACCTGCTCCAATACAAAACCCAATGTCTTGGGTTCAATTCCATGTTAGGGTGTGTGTATACTTTTTCTGATGAAGGCCTTCCTGAAATTCGAGAAATCCTTCCTAAATATCTAGAGAAAGTATTTGATAAGCGTTTATATTTTTTTCTCTATCTTTGATAAGCGTTTATTCAGGAAGACCATCATGAATTACTATAATTCCTTCCCGAATTAGTCTAAATAAGTTTTTAGGGAAGTCTTCATGAATTTTCAATAGTTATATCACCAACATCATATTTAGGAAGACCTTCCCGAATTACTATAAGTCCTTCCCGAATCAGGAAGATCTTCCCAAATTACTATAAATCCTTAGTGAGCAATGAAACCAGAATCACATTGTGAGAATCAATGAAACAAATCAATACACAACACCAAAGTCAAAACCACAAAACTAAAAAGAAATCAACAAAGACGTATATCTCCATTCTAGAATGCAAACTAAAACAACTCTATCAAGCAAAGAGAACAGAAAATGACAACACATAAACAAGTAAAAAATGTTTATTCATATCTTCATATCACAAACTTGCAGATATAGCAAACACAAATCCAACAAAAGCATGCCTAAACAATATCGTTAAGCAAATCAAATGATATACAAAGCCAGCCACTTTAAGAACATGAAAGGGATTCATCTTTAAAAGCTAACAACTTTCAAAAACCCGATTGAATGAGACTAGTGATTTGCAATATGCATCACAATGTTCCGGTTTTGGATGAGACTAGTGATTTGTTCCGCAGGTTTAGGCAGAAGAAACGAGATGCGTTGTTCGATAGCAAGAAGATTGAGATCTATGAGGAGTTTGACACGGTTGCATATTGGAAACAGAAGGCGTTGAATCTGGAGAAAATGCTTGAGGCAAGTACTGAGAGAGAAAGGAGACTAATCAAGAATAGCTGAGTGAGGGTTAAGGAAGGGTAAACGTGATTGAGTTGAGTCGATGAGATTAGGTCGACTGGGTTGAGTAGAGGAATCGTGGAGGCAGTGGTTCGAGATACCGGAGGAGATCGAATTTTCCGACTATCGGAGGCAGCTATGGAGAATCGGAGGCAAACGAGAATCGTCGGGTGAAAGAGATGAGAATTAGGTTTTCTGTATTTTCTATTTTTCAGTTAATGGTTAATTAAAAAGTATTGGGTGCTATTTCTGGAAATTATGAAATATGAGGCTATTTTTGGAAGAAAAAACTTTTTTGGTGCCATTTGTGTAAATTGCCCTAATTTTTGTATGTGGTTAAAATAAATAGTGTGATATTATGTTATCAAAAAAATTAATATGACATTTTTAAAAACAATTACGCGGCAAAAATTATAGTATTTTTTTCTTAAAATGTTATAAATAAACCAATCAACTTTTTTTTGGTGAGCGAGAGGGAGGCAATGCCTCCCCCAATTTATTAAATTAAATAAAAGAATTACAACCGAACATAACGTGGAAGTTCCGTCCCATGAACATCCTCCAACAAAACATCGTGGATAACATCAGGACATGAATCAAGAAAAAGAAAGTATAACTCTAACGTGAACACATAGTTTGCTAATCCGTCTGCAAGACGATTAGCCTCCCTATACACATAAGTAACCCGGACTAACCAGTCCCTTGCGATAAAGCCATGGCACAAACGCACCAAGAAAGATAGCGGATGAGATCGCTGACCCCCATCTTGATAAAACCTACCACCAACTCCGAGTCCACCTCCAACTCCACCCGTCTAAAACCCCGCTCCCAGGCAATAACCAGGCCATAATACACTCCCCACAACTCCGCCAATGGTGCTGAACATACCCCGATATTCAACGCGAAGCCACCTAGCCATTCCCCCGCCATACCTCGGATCACTCCCCCGGCCGTTGACGGGCCTGGATTACCGTGAGAAGCTCCGTCTGTTGATAGCTTCACCCATCCCTCCGGTGGTTTCTTCCACCCTACCATCCATTCAACCCGAGTCCCCGATCGTGTGTTTCCTCGAGCCAACACATGAGACCTTGTTATTTGTCGTTTATTCTTGCAAACAAAAGACCAAATCATTTATTGTATATACTCATAATTAAAAACTATTTACACTAGAAATATTTTGGGGTTTTACACGGATGTTCTTACTAGGCCTGGGCAAAATAACCGAACCATAAGAACCGAACAGGAACCGAAGCAAAAAGAACCGAACCGGAACCGAACCAAAATTTTAAAATACACAAATGAATCCTAAATTTTAGAACCGAAAGAACCGGAACCGAAACCGAACCTAACCGAAATATTTTGGGTACCCGAAAATACCCGAAAATACCCGAAATATAAGTTTATATCTAAAAATATTAGTTACTAGATTTTAACCCGCGGTACACCGCGGGGCTATAAATTTTTTGAAAATTATCTATTGTTTTGTTTGATTTAAATGTACTTATTATATATATATTACTCCGCATTAAACCCACGGGTCGATTTTTGATAACTAAAAATTGAAATTTTAAGTTGAATTTATTTTGTTAATATTGTTTATTTTGTTTAGCATTTATTGTATTTTGATAGTTAATTATACGATTTCACTCGTAGTACCGCCTCGTATTAATATTGATTCAAACCCGTCCTACCATATAACCCTGTCCCGTGAAATTAAACATTATTTTGTTATTGTTTTTTATAATATTCTAATTTAAAAGACATATATAATTTGAGTCAATTTAAAAGTTTGCTTTAAACGGCTCCCATAATATATATATATATATATATATATATTTAATTGTTATAGAGTTCAAATATCATTAATATTATAAACTTTTTATAAAATTTTAATATTATAAATACTTTAAACGTTTTATTATCTTAAAATATTTACAATGTTTAAACTTCTTATAAATTCTTATAAAGTTTAAATATTTATAATATTTGAAACTTCATAAAAGTTTTAATATCGACCCAAACTTCATAATTGTATTTTGGTTGTTAATTCTAAGATTTCACTCGTAGTATATCGTTCCGTATTAATATCGACACAAACCCGTCACACCATATAATCCCGTCCCGTGAAATTAAACATCATGTTATTTTTCTTTTTAATAATAATTTTATTTAGAAGACATATAATTCGAGTAAATTTAAAAGTTTGCTTTTAAATTGTCTCTATAGTATATATATTTATAATTTTTATAGAGTTCAAATGTTATTAATATATAAACTTTTTTATAGAATTGAAATATTATAGATACTTTAAAAGTTTTATAAAATTTAAATATTTATAATATTTAAATTTCTTATAAGTTTAAAATTAATAATATATAAAATTCTAATAAAGTTAAAATATTCATAATATTTGAAACCTTATGAAATAATAATAATAATCTAAAATAACATATTTTTCCGTAGACATAAATAATATTTATATATTTGGTAATAATGTTTTTTTGGAGTTAATCTAATTTATAACTAAATAAATTATTTATAGCCAAAATGAGTTTGGTTTATAATAAGTAATATAGCAAAATGAGTTTGTAAAATAACGAATAGTAACCATAATTTAATTAATGTACATTAAAATAAATATATTTAAAAAATGAATTACTTAAAAAAATTGATTTTGTCAAAATTAATTAATATCTTTAAGATATTATGGAAATGATTAGTTATAGTTAAGATATTATGTTAAGATTTTTTTGGAAATTAATATCTTTGATTTAAATTTTCGAAATTAAATAATTAATTCCAATGGCATTCTTTGTAAATACTGCCCAACCTCATGATTTATTTGCTAAAAGTGTTCCAAAAATGTATATATAGATTTTTAGATCAAATAACCAAAAATACCCGAAATACTAACAAATATTTGGAAAATATATCAAAAATACTTAAAATATCCAAAAATACTTGAAAATTGTTGGGGTCGGGTTTCACCCATCTCTTGAGATCGAGCAAAACATCGAAACACCTCATAATCATCATCTCGGGGTACAGTCCAAATCGCCTAGGGGTACACCTCACATCGCCTCAGGGTACAGTCCAAATCGCCTAGGGGTACACTCCACATCGCCTCGGGGTACAATCCAAATCGCCTAGGGGTACACCTCACATCGCCTCGGAGTACAGTCCAAATCGCCTAGGGATACACCCCACATCGCCTCGGGGTACAGTTCAAATCGCCTAGAGGTACACCTCAAATCGGGAATTCTTCCAAATATCCCCGAAAAATAAGGAAATAGTCCTTATCCAAGATATTCTAAGCCGACTCCAAGGAAAATGGAAATCTTCCGAATATGTCGCTGGAAAGGCGGTTTACCAACTCTATATAATGTGACTTAAGGCCTGACTGGTTTAAATGCAGCGGTTGCGGTTGCGGTTGCGGGAGTTTGCGGAAGCGGACGGTTGCGGTTTCAAGCGTTACCAAGCGTTTTGAACGACTAGTTTAGCGTTTGAAAATGGATGCATTTGCGGGAGTTTTATGACTGGTAAACCAGCGGGTGCAGTAGCAGTTAAATAAAAAAATGACCAAAAAATAAAAAATATTACAAAAAATAAAAATAAAAATACCAATATATTATTATGATAATATTAGAAAAATTGAACATTCTTAATAATTAAAACCATAAATAAAGTACTAAATAGTTATTCAAAAATAAATAAATTTTGTAATAAGATAGTATTTTATACTGGGTTAACACCAAAAATTGCATCAAGTAATGGGACAAACAGTAAATAACGTTGAATTCAATC